CCGAAGTCAGTTAGCCGGCCCATGTTGGCTGCCTTCATTTTACTCATGATTTTAAAAGGACCAGTTTCAAAGTTTTTTTTTTTTTTTTTTTTTTAATTTATATTTCAGGACAAATAAAAATGTCCCTAAACTCACAATTGAATTAAAGTGATGTTTCTACACATAAAACACTCAGAACCAGAATAAACAAAATATTTTAGGTTTTATTGCGGGCACAAAAACAGAAATTGAACCAATTTATGAGATTTTTTTGTAATCGTTGATTAAAAAAAATAATACACCTAATATAAAATTATATTGAACAACAAGTTTAATTCCAACGAGTTAAGAATAAAAGTTGGTGAGGAGTTAATCTGAAGCGTCTCTTGGGTCGTTGTGTATTTTTTCCTAATGCTACCGATGCTTTACACTCTATGAGACGACGGACGTTTCCATCTGCTTTCAAAGAGACTAAACTGTTGTTTTTGTTAATAAAGTGATGAGGAATGATCAAAATATGAGTACAGTCAGATCAAATAAAATATAAAACACATGGACACTCCTTGCTGACAAGTACGCACTGATAAAAAGATGTTTTGTAGTTTTTAATCAAAAGTATTTTGTAGTTTTCAAGGACAAGCTTCACGTTAAGCTAAAATTCTTAAATGATCTTTGATTCTGATCAAAAGAGGTCAGAAGTTAAGTTAAACCCACAGCAGGCTAAACCTGAGAGGTGCAGCAAAATGTCTAGATTTACAAGTTTCACTCCTACAAACATCAAACGAAGCCCGACCGTCTGAAAACAAACATCTTTATTGAATTTTGTGGTGGAAATGTGTCTGCTGGACCAGGAATGATGCAGCTGAACATCCAGTTTGATTCTGCAGCAAAATGACATTTAGTTGAACTTCAAAAGGTCAAAAAGCGGAGGATTGCTTCCGTTTTGTGATTTATTCCTTCATTCTGACTCATGTAGCATTAAACAAGTGAAAAACAGTCAAATGTTTGAAGACGTATAAATAAAAATAAACCAAAACTACCAGCTTGTCTGCAGGGACGACCATTACTCAAACTTTTATTAATAAAACTCAAAATCAGGAATGATTGCGCAGATTTTTACGTTGAGATCAGACTTTATTAGCAACATTTCTACACACGAATTATAAACAGCCTTCAAGCCATGAAGGGACATGTGTGTGTGTGTGTGTGTGTGTTGGGGGTCATTCTGATTTATTGTAAATATTTAAACAAAAACTACCCAAGTATGTACATAAAAACATTAGGGCTATACAGACACAACAGTCAGGAGTGGTTTTAGCTCAATGGGAACAATATAAAGTTTTCAAACTTTGTTTTAAATCATCCTATATTAATTAAATGCAAACAGCCTGTGCAGTCCAGAGCAGCTGGTTTCACTGGTGCTCCTTGAGGAACTCTCTCATGTAGTCAGCGAGGGCTTCAGTGTCCTCCAGAGTCACTGCGTTGTACAGAGACGCTCGGATTCCTCCAACTGACCTGCAGGGGGCGACAAAACCGTCAGGTTTCCATACACAGCACAGGTGTCCAAGTGTGGCCTGAGGGCCATTTGCGGCCCTTGGAGTGATTTTGTGCGGCCCACAACTACAGTTTAAGAATAGTATTAGGCCTGCCACGGTAACAAGTATTAGACCTGTCACGGTAACAAGTATTAGGCCTGCCACGATAACAAGTATTAGGCCTGCCACGATAACAAGTATTAGGCCTGTCACGATAACAAGTATTAGACCTGTCACGATAACAAGTATTAGACCTGTCACGATAACAAGTATTAGGCCTGTCACTATAACAAGTATTAAGCCTGTCACGATAAGTATTAGGCCTATCACGATAACAAGTATTAGACCTGTCACGATAACAAGTATTAGGCCTGTCACGGTAACAAGTATTAG